CTGCCAGCGTGCTGCAGCTGCAGGAATCCGTGCCTTCTGCCACCAAAACCCCTGCAAGGGGGACGGGCAGCAGCAGCCACAGCCCTGGGCAGCCACAGATAATAATTTCTTCCTAATATTTAACCTAAACATACCCTCCTTCAGTTGAAAGCCACTCTCGCTTACCCAGCACTGCACAGCCTTGTAAAAACCCTCTCCATCCTCAGCCTCCCGCACAGCAGCAGCTCTGGAAGGTGCAACCCTGCTTTTTTAGCAGCTCTCAGTATCAAACCCCAACTGGAAACGAGAATCTCCCCCCTGGCTGTGTCCCACACCTGCCCTCGGCTCCCAAACCTCCTCCGTGCTGCCCCGTGACAAGGAGCGGGGGGCCCAGTGGTGGATGTGGGGCGTGGAGGGGACAGAGCTGCCCTGTGTCCCCCTCCCTCCCCGCTCAGGGACGTGGATGCTCCCTGGTTGTGCCTGTCACTGTGTCGCACAGCCTGGCACGGGCACCTTGTTCGACAGGCGGGGAATGTGCCGCGTGTTTTGGGAAGGAAACAAACCTCCGTATGGCGCTCTCCATCTGGGCTGAAAGGTTGCCTGGAAGGAAGGAAGGACAGCCAAGAGTGCAGACCACTGTCCCAGGGTGACAAAACCTGCTCTGGCGTCCCACCCAGCCCCTATTCCCGTGTGCCACTGCCCCCATCGGGGTTGGGAAGAGGGGCTGGGAGCCCTGGCTGTGCCAGCTGGGTGCCACGGGGGGAGGCACCGCGGAGGGCAGCCAGGAAAGGAGGGAGGGATGTTGGGCTGAAGTGATGCAGCTCTTTGGCCGAGCAGGGGAGGGCTGAGAGCAGCTCGGCTGAGCCCTGGTGTTGCTCAGGACGTGCCTGTCGCTGTTGAGGCAGGACGGGAATGAAGAGACTCTGACCAGGCTGCTGAGAGTAAAACTCCCCTTTATTCAAAATATACTGCTCTTTTATATAGAGCTTTGTGAGGACAAAATTTGTTGGTTTTTGTTATAAATGAAAATTTGTCCAGCCAAATTTGTCCAGCCAAATCAATAATCTAGCCCCAGCGTGTGGGGCTCTGCCCTCAGTGGGATGTTACAAACATTAAATACCAGAAACTACCTGTGCTGGATTTACAATAACGTGCCAATATCTGTCACCTACGTTGGACAGTGTGTCCCCAGCCTGAACCAACAGAAAAATGCCAACACCACAGTGAAACATGGAGGGCATGAAGAAGGAGAAAAAGGACAAGGCACACCCAATTTCCTCCATCTTGTCCCCTTTGGACCCCTAATCTAGAAACCTAAAATTTTACTTTTGCACCCGTGCCACACTTAATTATTACTTATATCAAACACTCAGAGCTGGTAATTCATCCTGTAAGATTGAAAACTCTTTTCCATGGACAGAGATCACAGCCAGTGTCTCTGGGGGCTCTGTCCAGGCGGGTTCCTGACCCCTGCCAGGGTCCCAGACCTGCCAGGGCAGCCAGAGGGAAGCTCTGGATTCCCACAATCTCAGGAGAGGGATTATTGATCTGCATCTGGCACCGGGGCCAAAGCCTGCTGAAAGTATAATTAATTGATCAGTAAGTGCTCTGAGATCCCAGATGAAAGAGCCACGTAATTACCAAGTATCTTCCAGTGGCCCTGGCAGTAATTGTGATAACGGCTCAGGGTTAGAGGCAGAATTACCTCGGTGCTTAGTGTCACCCGCCAGGGACAGACCTGTCCTCCCCCTGCCACTACCCTAGAAGGACATGCACTCACACCAAATGACTGTAAAAAAAATCTTGCTAGTATAATTCTTACAGATTCACAAGGTGTGGAGGGGACTGGAGAGAAACAAAACCCCTCTGTGCATCCCCTGGGATGCTGAGCCCTGTGGAGAAGCTGGAGGGTGGCCAGGAGGGTGCAGGGTTGGGGGGCTGCTCTCCAGAGTCAGAGCAGAGAAGGGATCTCTGGCTCCCAAAATCACTGAGGCCGGCCAGGACCACTGGAGATTTCATCAGAGAAGATCACCCACCACCAGGACCAGTGGGAACCTGCTGAACACCTCAGAATTTCCAGAGGAAGACACTGGAACCTAAAAACTGTGGCTTCAGAATTTCTGATTACACAAAAATTTAGCTCCGTGTGGGATTCTCTGACAATTCCCAGCCTTATTTTAGATTTTTACGCTTTGCCCTAAAAGCAATTATAGTAAATTATTAGACCTGCATGTGGGGTGTCAGGAGGCTTCTTCCCTATTAAATGCCCCAGGATGTTGTGTCCTCCGTGCACTCAGCTGGGCTGTGTGTCCCTCCAGCCCCTCAGCCCTCAGGGCCACCAAAAATCTGGGTGCAGCACCTTTCCCAAAGAGTTTTTCCATGTGGGAATCAAAGCCAGCCCTCACTGTGTCATCTCAATGGGCAGCTCGGGGAGAGTGGAGCAGGATTTGCTTCCACTGCCAAACACAAAGCAAAAGCTGATCTCCCGGGTGCTGGGGAGAGATTTACAAATTTCCCTGGTTTATTCCATTAACCCCGTGGCTGCTCAGGGATCTCGGCAGTGCTGACTGCAATGAAGTGACCTCCTTTAACCTGCAGCATCCTTCCCACTCTCCCAGCCCCGCCTGAGCCACAGCCTGAGCAGCTCTGAGCTCTGGTGCCATCTCCGGGTGACAGGATGGGGACAGGGGCATCTCCCCGGCGGTCACAGAGAGCTGAGCTGCTGTGGGACACTCCCGTGTCACTCAGCTGACACACACAGTGACTCAGTGCCTCACACACGCCTTATTTGCAGCTGGAAATGGCTCCCACAGGACTGGAATTGGGGTGGGATGGAATGGGATGGGATGGGATGGGATGGGATGGGATGGGATGGGATGGGATGGGATGGGATGAGATGGGATGGGAACCATGCTCAGAACCATCCTGAGGTGGTTCCTCAGTCCGTGCCAGGTGGGACAAGTGGGCAGAGGATGGGTGGAAGCTCGTGTTTGGGATGCATTCCCTAAATCCCACAGCAGCTTGTGCTGCATTTCCCACCGCGCCGCTGCCACGCTGCAGCTCTGCCAGCGCCCCACACATGTTGCTGGCTGCTCTTCCTCCTCTTCTTCCTCCTGCTCATCCTCCTCTTGCTCCTTTTCCTCCTCTTCTTCCTCCTCCTCCCCAGCCTGTCTCCCCTCTCCGAGTCCTGCCCGGCTCCCTGCAGATCCCGTGGGGCCACTGTGGCACTGTGCCAGGATCTCTGCCCAACCCTTCCAAAATATTCAGAGCAACCCCCGGGTTGCTCCATGGCCTGGAGCTCAGGGGACACCCAGGGATGAGTCCCTGCAGGAAATCCCGGCTGGCTGGAGCATCAGGAGCCACATTACCCCTTCCACGGCCACAAACCCCTGAGCAGGCACTGGGAGCTGGGGCACGGCTGCCCCAGAGGGGGAGATTATCCAGGGGGTGCCGGGGGTTTGTTGTTGGCCTCTCATCACGGTGAGACACGCAGGAAGTTCCAGTGAGCTCCATAACAGCTCTGCACGAGTGAAATGCTGTTCTTTGGTTAGGATCTCCAGGAGTTGTTATCCCAGTGAGCTCCCGGAGCTGCAGGATGGGCAGTGGCTCTGCACATGGGGACCCCCCCCTCCATGTCCCCAGCCCGGGGTAGGGTGTGAGAACACCAGCACAGTGTGGGGACTGTGTTTTAGGGCTTTTCCTCTTTAAACAGCCCCAGATCCTCCAGCCAAAGTCTCCAGGGAGGCGGAGGGACGAGGCTGGAGGCGGTTAATGGCTCTCCACCTGCGGGAGCTGCGGAAACGCTCCCAGCAAAGCACGGGCTCTGCTCCAAGCTCTTACAAGCTAATCAATGAAACATCACAGCTTGGGAGCCGGGGCAGAGCAAAGCAGCACAGTATGGATTTTATTTTTTCATGCAAAGAGCTTTAGTACAAATCCCTTTTTTTTCCCCCCCACAAAGAGTGCAAGCAGCCTCTGCAGAGAAAGCCAAGCCTGGGGCACCAGGGAGGACACAGGGGTGGGCTGGGAGGGGGCTGTCACCTCCCCTGGGAGGCACAGCCACAGGTGGTGACACTGTCCTGCTTGTTGTGCCACCCGCTTCACAGATTCTGGTCTCAGGGAGGTGCAGGTGTGGCCCTGCTGGCCCAAGGCTTTGCTGGCCAGGCCACAAACACCATCAGGAGGGGCTTTGTGGGGCTGCCACTGCCTCTGCAGAGCTGTGGGGGAGCAAAGCACTGCTCCCTGCTCCAGCTGCAGGGGGTTTCTGGGACCTGAGCGATGCCACCTGCTTTAGCCACTGCAGAGGGACCTTGCAGTCCCTGGGAGACTCCAACCCCTGTTTCATGGCACAGAAATGAGAGGCTGGACAGCTTTGGCAGAATAATTGGCTCTGTGCTGTGTGGCTGCAGGACCTCACCCCCATAACCAGTCACTGATCCCGGCTTGTGCAGCATCTCCAGGGATTTTGGTGTTTGCCTGCAGGCCGTGGGAACCCAGCAGTGACAGAGCAAACGCCAGGACTGAGCGGGCTCATTAGTAATTCCTCCTTGTGAGGATGATTCTCCTCATCTGTCTGTTCCCGGGATCTGTCAATGAGCCAGTTCATTCCCACTTAGGATGCGCTGTGCTGATCCTGCATCACGCTGCTTCCAGGAGAATGTGCCTGATGCCACATCCAATCCATCACAGCAACCCACGGCAGCATCGGATACCTCCCTCCCTCCCCCCTCAAACGATCATCCCCTCAAAGATCACAATCAGCTGTTGGACAAAGCCTGGCTTTCACACTGCCATGGTTACTGGTGCCGAGTGGAATCTGTGATTTCCTTCTTTTCCTTTATTTCCTCTTCCTTTCCCTCCCACCCACTGGTGCTCACCCCCTCTCTCCAGTGTCTCCAACAACTCAGGGATTATTCCCAATCAGCATCACTGAGGAATGCTGATTGCATCAGTTCCTCACTGAATGCTTTCATGATTCCCATGGGGAAATTATTTCAGCCAGACAAATGAAAAATATTTACCTGAGGGCCAAGGTCTGCATCCAGCTCCTCCTGTCCTGCAGACACCTCCAGCCTTCCCGGGCACTCCTGCCTGGCTCAGGGTGCTGAGCACTGGTGCTGAGCCCTCCTGCCTGGATCAGGGGACTCTGAAATGCACAGGGAGACACTGATGTGAGGGACAGAGCCAGAGGGTTTTCCTGAAGACAATTAATGGATTACAGCGAGTGTAGAGTAATGCAGAGGCAAAGAAATCCCTCTCTCCAGAGGCAGTGGGATAGCACTAAAATCATGCTGCACACTGCCTCACTTCATAAAAACTTCTTGTTATTCCTCAAGGAGGAATTGCAAGAGAGGACAACAGTTCTGTGCTCTCCTGGATTTACAAATGCTGTTTTATGTATCAGTGTAATCTCCCTTGTAATTTATATGGGATGCAATGAGTAAACACCAGCAGGCCTGGCAGGAATACTGACTCTGGAATGGAGGACAAGGTAGAAAAGTCTCCCCAGAGCAGCTGAAAGGCAGATTTGTCGAAGGCAGATTTCTCCAGGATTTGTGGGGATGGTCAGGATGGGGCAACCATGGAGCCACTGGCTGTTCTGTGACTGATGCAAATCCTGCTGGAGCAAAAAACTGAAAATCACAGCAGAAAAGTCTTGAAAACTTTTGGAACATCACAGCACAGCAGTGAGACGTGGATACAGCAACCAGAGCAGCACCATTGCCTTGGGAAGGAGCCTGGCAGCCATGGACTGGAGTGGCTGCAAGTGCCTGGAGCTGGTGGGAGCCTCTCCAGGCATTGCCATGAGGAGCTTTAGTTAATTAAGCTCTGAATGGTGAATTATGCACAGAGCATAAAACAATGTCCTGATTTCTGGCTGGGGAATTAAGGAGCTGTGGGCTCAGGTAGGTGCTCCCAGGCTTCAGTCCTGGGGCACAAGGAGAGCTTTTGCTCCATGGGGGGATGGCTCACTGGGATGTGACACAGGGACTGTGGAGCTGTGCTGGGATGGCCCACACAGGGACACTGAGGGCTGCAGAGGTGACCCTGGGGACACAGCACCCTGTCCCTTCCCTCCAGTTCCACAGGGATGCTGCTGCCTGCCTTCCCCTCAGTGGGTTTTTCCCCCCCTCAGCCCCCTCCAAACCCCAGTGGGCAACAGGGAGCCTATTTTCAAGCTGTGCAAAGTCTTCTTCTGTTGAGGAGGAACAAGGACTTCCCTCCTGAGCGGGCCCCCAGCTGTGCCCGCTGGCACTGGCTCAGAGGGGCTGGATGCCAGCCTGGCCTCCAGCTCAAACCCCCCATTCAGCGCCGTGTTTGGAAGGCAAAGCAGGGAATCAGCCCCGTTCCCAAAGCCAAAGGCTGGAGTGGCTCTGCCATCTCAGAGGGACAAAGGCCTTTTCTGCCCTGGGACAATATTGCCACTCACCAGCAGTGCCCCCAGCCTGGGGACGGCTCCTCAGAGCCGCCTTTCAGCTGCACCACGGGGCACCTCTGCTTCCCATCTAAAGCTGAGGTTGTTTTTCCGCTTCCTTGTGCCATTGAAGCCCTCCCCCTGCCCGGGGCACTGTGGAGTAGGGGTGAAAGCTTCCCAAGGAAGCTGCAGGGAGGAGGCTGCTCCCCTGTGTCAGAATCTGAGGTATTGATGATCCCGAGATTATAAAAGTCTCTTTCTTTCTGCCCCATTGCCAAAGAAGAAGCCATAATTCCTCTGTGCTGGTTTCAAGGTTGTTTATTCTGTTTATCTCTAACATGTTCTGCTGCCCTGCCGCAGCTCTGTCCTGCAGGGCAGCGTGTGGGGCTCTGCCCTCAGTGGGATGGTACAAACATTAAATACCACAAACTACCTGTGCTGGATTTACAATAACGTGCCAATATCTGTCACCTACGTTGGACAGTGTGTCCCCAGCCTGAACCAACAGAAAAATGCCAACACCACAGTGAAACATGGAGGGCATGAAGAAGGAGAAAAAGGACAAGACACACCCAATTTCCTCCATCTTGTCCCCTCTGAACCCCTAATCTAGAATCCTAAAATTTTACTTTTGCACCCGTGCCACACTTAATTATTACTCATATCAAACACTCAGAGTTTGTAATTCATTCCTGTAAGATTGAAAACTCTTTTTCATGGACAGAGATCACAGACAGTGTCTCTGGGGGCTCTGTCCAGGGGGGTTCCTGACCCCTGCCAGGGTCCCAGACCTGCCAGGGCAGCCAGAGGGAAGCCCTGGACTGCCACACCCTGTGTGAGCAGAGGGCAGGAGGGGCAGCAGCCTGGCACCCGTGCATGCCTCAGGGGAGCCCCATGGAGCAGCTGCATCCTCAGCAGGATTCCTTAGAGTATTTGGGAATGCTCACACGCAGTCAGGGGAGTGGGGTCTGTCCTGGTGGGGTCTGCCCCCAAAGCACCTCTGTCCCCATCTCCCACCAGTGTGGGGGGACAGGAGCTGCCTGTGAGGTGTGTCCCACCCCGCTGCAGGGCAGATGCTGCAGGATCCCACAAGGTGGATGTGTCCATGGTTGCACAGGCAGCACCCAGGCTGGTTGGAGCCCCTGGCAGTGCTGCCCCTGCCCTCAGCGGGCACAGGGAGCTGCGAGTGGGCAGCGATCGATGGGCACAACTGCGGAGCAAACGCGGCAGCACCGGCGGCTGCGGCAGCGGCGCCGGAATAAATGAGAGATTGATTTTCCAGGCAGCTCGGATCCCATGGATCTCAGCTGCTGTGACAGGGAGAGTCACAGGCATGGCTGGTGCCGTGGGGCTGTCACCTCCCTGTGCTCCCCGGTGCTGAGGGGCTGGGGGATCAGGAACTCGAAATAAAAGCTACTCTTTGCCCAAAAGCAAAGCAACTCTCCAGGCAGGGAGCTGGCAAGGCTGGGGACATTGGGAAGGACAGGAAAATGGGTGTTCTGTGCTCCCTGTGAGACCCCCACTCTGCTCCCTGTCATCAGCCCCTTCCCAAACCGCAGTGAGCAGAAAGGCACCGTCTGCCTTTAACATCTTATCTCCAAGCTGCTCTTGCTAAGTCACATCTGACTTAATTATGGTAATTAAGATTGACATTAATACAAGATTAAAATGTGAAATTAAAATTAGCTGTGAAACTTATCTGAGTTTTTAGAGCAGTTATTGATTTTCTCCACTGTTAATCAAAGGTCTGAGGTAATGGCCGATGAACACGGTGCTAATTAGAGCAATGCCCATAAAGTGGCCTCGGGAGATGTTTGTCTTATTTCTTGGAATACCTCAGGTTTCTGACCACACAAACATCTCTGGTCCTGAGAGCTGCTGAAGGAGCTCAAGGGGCCATGTTCTGCCCGCTCCTGTCGGCGCTGTTCCTGCTGTGGAGCTGGGCTGTGCCATGCCCAGCCATGCCCAGCCATGCCAGGGCTGCAGGAGCTGCTCCAGCTGCAGGACTTTCGTGGTGGCAGGTCCCAGCTGCAGGCAGAAGGGCCCTGGTGATTTGGGGAGCAGCAGGAGCACGGAAATCCCGGGAGCTGCCGCTCTCCCTCCGCACACATCCCGCTGTTTCTCCGGGTGAGATGAGATTTCACAGCCCATTAGGCCTCAGCGCCGGCTGTGGAGGGAAATGATCCCGATACATCCCACGGTGCATCCTGTGGTTCATCCCAGCCCATGTCCCTGCACACACTCCAGCCTCCCAGCCCACCTGAGCCCCCAGCAAAGGGACAGGAGGACTCCAGGCAGCAGAATTCCCAGCAGCAGGTCTTTCCCCAGGTGAGATGCCCTGGAGTCTGGGATGTGATGCCCATGGGGTGCATCTCATGGGAGCTGGACCCACCTGCACCCTCTAAGCCTGGCTGAGCAGCTTGAGCCTCACCATTCCCTCTCCATCACTAACAACTTTTGCCACTTTGTGGGCATTTCTGCATCACAAATACCGTGTTTGGTCTCTTTTCCTGCCTGTTTCCATGGCACTGCTGTTATTATCTGGCTATCTTAGGAGTTTACTACAATGCAGATGAGCACAATAAAAATCACTCAAGGAGAACTGCTAAATGAGGGACAACTCTTATCTTTAGCACCGGCAGGTCGGGAGGGAGGCGAGGCTGGAGCAGAGGGGGAGCGGTGCAGGCTGCACTCGCTGTGCCACAAGCTTTGTTCAACCAAATTAAACCTCTGAGCAGGTGAGTCCCAATTGGGCACGAGAGTAACAGCGTTAAATGACACGCTGCACCTCTCGCCGCTTTCTCTCTCTTTCTTATTTTGTTCTTCTCGAGCCTGCTGCCCAACTGCTCCCAGCTGGCAGCGGCTGGAGCGACACTGGGAATGCAAATGACCTGCCGGCCTCTCCTCAGCATCCCCGGGCTGGGGAAGGAGGGAGCTCAGCAGAGCCCGGTGGGAAAACACGGCAGGATCAGTCCCCGTGTTTGGACAGTTCCTTGCCTCGGTGTGTTGTGCGTGGTGGCACCGGCGGTGACACCGGAGCGTGATGGTTGTTGCTGAGGTAACGGGATCGGTGTAATTGCTCCCGCAAAGGTAGCCAGGGACTTCTCAGATGGCAGCATCAACAAAGTGGCTCTTTAGGGAAGAGGCCGGGCTGCTCTCGTGCTGTTTGACACTGGTGTTGTGCACTCGTGACATCGCTCTGGCTATTTGACTTGACAGGCGGAGCGGCCGGGAGCACCGGGCGCTCTCACCGGGAGGTGATTCACAGTAAACATTTCAGGGCAGGATTTGAGATTTCAAGAGACCAAAGTCTCTGTTTCTGTTCTTCTCAAAGTCACTGTGATTACACCGTGAGCTCTACGGGCTCAGGAGGGGCCTGCTGGGAGCACTGGGCTCACTGTTCCTGCTGGTGGGATGGGCAGGGGGTTCCTGGGAGGCATCCAGGCCTCGGTTCTCCTGCAGGCAGGGAAGCTGAGGAGCTGTGGGGCAGGTCCTGAGCAGGGATTGCCTGCGTGCTGCTTCTTTTGCCACTGGACTGAGGGTACCCCAGTGCTCACCCATGGCCACATTGCCAGCCCAACATGACGGGGGGCCCTAAGCAGCACCCACAAAGTGTGGGCTACTGTGTGCTCAGTGCCTCCACCCCACTGAGGTCAGGCAGCTCACAGCTGCAGCTTTGCTGGGTCAGAAGCCCCAGAGCATCCCTGATCCCAAGGGAGCCATGGGAGGCTCCCCACAGCACCTCTGCCCTATTCACAGCCTGCTTTGGGGGAGCCAGAGGAGAGGGAAGGGGGGGACATCTGGGCTTGAGGAGGGAGTGAGAACGGCTTGGAGTGCTGAGGGGGGCTTTGGGTGTAGGGGGTGGGATGCTGAGCAGAGTTGAGATGCTGAGAGCGGCTTTGGTGACAAGGGGCAGTGAGATGGGATGAGAGACAGGGTGATGAGGGGCCCGCAG